CAGTGGGAACTCTCCTGAGCACTTCCTGTGTTCCTCCGGAACTCTCCTGCGCTCCTCTGGATGTTTCCTGCGCTCCTCCAGAAGTCCTCTAGCGCTCTCCAGCAGAGTAGCCAGCCTCTGGAAGTCCTCCAGACTTTGTTGGACTAATCATCGGACCTCATACAAAATGAAGGACACATACTTGGGTAAGGGGCACAGCATACAAGCTGAGGCCAAGCCCCTCTGAGTCAGTCTCTCTCTCCTTTGAGCAACATGGTTCTTAACAGATGGTGGGGTTTCAATGTATTACAATACACTTACAACATGATTGACATGCTTCAATTCCCCTTTTACCACAGCATCTTCAAGTGTTCCCCCTTTTTTCTGTTACATAAATTGTTCCTATACACACATATTTTATATTTGTCAATGATATGGGCCCCAAAAGGACAAAATTTTGTGATCTGTGTCAACAGGACCTCAAACCACATGGTTGGATCACTCATTGCAAGGCCTGTGAGAAGAAGGCCAAGAAACAACAACAGAATCAACTTGTGGCAGAATCCATTTGAAGGGAAGATTTGAATGCAGCAGCAGGATGCACTCATTTGTAGCTTGGTCTATTATTCTAAGTTCTATTATACTATCTACATTGACTGACAGGCTCTTCAAATCTGAGACGAGGACATGCCAGGGACAAACATGCTGATAATGCCATGGGAAAGAGATGTAAGTACTGAACATGTTTTTTATAATTATTCTTACATTGCAACAGGACAGTGTGACATCTTACCAACTTGGAATGAGGTAGATGACAATATGGGGTACATAGGTGAGTTTTTGATTGTTATTTGTTAAAATATATTTACATTCATGAACTGCTGTCAACAGATCCTTTTCCTGATGCTGATGTCCCTGAATATGTGCAATGCACATTCCAGGTTGATGACATTTGGTGTGAATACCATCCAAGCAGCAAGACTCAACCTGAAGTCCACACATTTGATGATTTCAAATGTCATCCAACACTATTAGCATCCTCTTTGCCTAATAAGCACCCCTGGGCTCCATTCAAATTGCAACTGGAATTCAAACTTGCTGAACTTGCCCTGGAGGCTTGCTTGAACAATGAGCAGACTGACTATCTCATAAAACTTTGCAACTGGTGTACTTCCCAACAGGAGAAGTTCACATTTCAGACCCACAAGGACATTTGTGACAGGTGGGACACTGCTTCCCATCACATTACAGGGGTGAGTTTCTTCCTTTCTTTCTGATGCTCAGCTTCTGACAATTCTTAAGTTTAGTTTACTGAAGACATAATCTCAGTACCATATGATGGTACAACATGAGAGTTTGATCTGCACTGTTGGAATCTCTGGGAGTGGGCTACCAACCTCCTTCATGATTCCCAGCTCTTTCTGCATATAGTATTTGATGTACAGCACTTCTCAAAGTTTGATGGTGAGACATTTGTAAATTTTGTAAATGAACCTTACACTGCTGAAGCTTTTTGGAACACTCAAGTATGTAACACTACTATAGCAATTTCAGTCACATTCCTTACTTGATCTATTATTTTGCCTCAGTCTCAGCTACCAGAGGGTGCCAAGCCCCTCACTTTCATTCTGTATGTTGATAAGACCAAGTTATCCTCATTTGGTACCACAAAAGGCTACCCCATTATTGCCTGTCTTGCAAATCTCCCCACCAACATTTGCAATGGTCAAGGTATAGGTGGCAGCTACATTGTCAGATGGCTTCTGATTGTATGGAATATATTGTTAGTTAGTGATTAGCACTGATTCTACTTTGATACTTTTTCTAGGTGAAGGAAGAGAAAGAGCATGCTGGCAAGCTGATGTGATGATCATATTCCCACTAGGCTTGCATGGCTGTCTTTTGAGATAGGTGATGGAAAGGTAGCCCTCATATCATTCATCACACCCCTGTATGCAGCCTTCATTAGTTTCAGCTACAAAATCATTGTCTGCTCCTTAGGCCTCACTTCCCATGATGCCCACATGCACCATGCATTGCTATTCATGTTCCTGTGCCTCACACACTGTCAGTTCACCTGATAATGTGTTTAGGTGCATCAGTACATGACTGCTCTGCATCAACTGCTTTTCCCACACTCAACCTGCTTTGGACATACATTCCCATGCTCTGTGGACCCACACATTCACTCCTGCACTGTGCACATACCTGCAGTCAATTTCCCATGCCTTTGGATTACCTTACAGATGTCCCACATCAGTCCATTGTCCATCCCACCTGTTAAGGCCATACTCAAGGGCTAACAGATCCTAAGGGCTTCGGCCTCAGCTCATGCACTGTGCCCCTTACTTGAGTATTGCCCCTTATTTCAGGAAGACAAGACTAATGCATCTGGAGGGTCGGACAGGTAGCATAGCAGATCCAGATGACTTCCGGGTGCAGGATAAGTATCATAAGGCTAATCTGGACTCGTCCAGACTAGAAACTAGTGGTAGTGGCTGTTGTAGACAGAGGCGGATGCGGATAGACTATAGGAATCAATTCTAAGTCTTGGAGGGTGACAAGAGCAGTAGTACTCAGGTCTGGAGGATGGGAATGGGCAGAACTAAGTTGATATTCAAACTGAGGTGCTACAGAGAGTTACAGGAGGTTATATACTATAGGTATCTAATGGAATGATCAATCAGCAGAGTCTGAGGCTATGTATGAAGCATATGGATAGTCTATTGGTAAGTAGAAACAGATCACAAATAATGAAATGGAAATGAAGCATAGGTAACAGATCAGGGAGCAGGACAGATATACAGATAACTGAAATACCGGAGTTAGGGGATTACCAAAAGGAGATGAACACTGGTTGTGGATTTGGATGAATTATGGACTGGACCAAATGAGTGGACAGATTGGATGACAAGATGTTGGAGGGGGATAAGATGTGGATAGGATTGGAGATAAGATGTGGATTGGATCTGAGATGAGATAAGGATCAGATCTGAGATCCAGATATGCAGATATGACACCACCTCATTCATCAGGAAAAACTGTTTCTCTATATAGAAGGCCCCCTGCTATATAGCTCCCATAGTACATTATAGCATTATATAGTCTATGATCAGCTATCACAGGATATAGACCACTATGGAAATTATATAATTCTATATATCACCATAAAGTTTGGTAAGCATATTTAGAAGTAAAACAATTAAGTAAGAAGGAATCACATTTATCTAATACATTATCTGAAGTCCAATCTATAGGAACTGTTCTTCCAAAGTTAGGAACAAGCTGACAAGTCTGCCTAATGGATGATAGTGGAATAATTCTACCTGGCAATGAACTGTCTAAGGAAAGTGAGGGTTTCTTAACTGTATATAACTCATAATAGTCTTCTGCTGCAGGTTTTAATGGAGCATACCACTCAACATATGCCAAAGGGTCTTTGGTCAAAGCAGGTTGAACTAAACCATATACTTGTTGTGGTAGGCAAAACATAACTTTCAGCCTTCCAATGCATGTACCTATAGTATTGAAATTTTCATACACTGGATGACCATATATATATGAAAGCTACTCACCTTTTAAACCAGTGCATTCACAGTCAGGATCATCCATCACTACAACTGTAGCAAAGCATCCAGCTTTATGAGAAATAGGTGGTTGTGCTTTGACAATATCTGTCTCCTCCATTTGATCAAAGTTGACATCATTGCCTAATGAGTCTAGGCAGAATTTGAAACTGTGATAAATATCAATATGGCTGAAGGGAAGATTCATATATCTGAGCTGTCCACATGAATGAGGTTGAGACATAGGCATACAAGACCATCTTCACCCACAACCTCTATTCCTCTTTCTCCTGCATCTTTGAGAGGCTTCAAAGAAAATGATTCAAAGGGAGTTGTGGAAGAGTTGTTGTACCCAGAAGATACTTCTCTAGCAAATAGTTCCTCCTTTATGATCTTATCTACCAATAAATACCTTATTAGAATACAGGCATGCTGACTGGATTTGTGATGGATGGTTCTGGGCATATTGCTAAGTGTAAGATAGACTGGATATGCTGATTTGGATGCAGAAAATCTTGTAAGTGGGGTTTTGTCCATAGCAAAAATCACAGGAGCTACAGATGCTCCCTGAGGAAGTCTGTCCTACAAAAACATAAGTTAGTTATTGTCATATCCCACAATCCAGACCCACATTCCATAATATTCACACACCTTCTGAGCCTACATCCAGACCCCATATCTGACTCATTCCCAGATTCCCTTCTGCTATGTGCTTCACACCTCAGCAGGATTGACTCCATTCTAGATCTTCACTACTAGCCTGATCTGTGCACCCCTATCCTGTCCACCATATGCACATTCCATCTAGCAAGACATCAGGACCTCATCTCATCTTGAATTCAGGACTATATCCACCTCATCATATCCCGGTCCTGTATCCACCTCATCTTCCAGATCCCCAGATCTCTGGACCTCTGGATATTGTCATATCTGCATATCTGGATCTCAGATCTGATCCACATCTTATCTCCAATCCTATCCACATCTTATCTCCCTCCAACATCTTGTCATCCAATCTGTCCACTCATCCGGTCCGGTCCACAATTCATCTGAATCCACAACCAGCACTCGTCTCTTTTTGGTAATCCCCTAACTCCGGTATTTCGGCTATCTGTATATCCATCCTGCTCTCTGATCTGTTACCTATGTTTCATTTCTGTTTCATGATTTGTGATCTGTTTCTACTTACCAATAGACTACCCATATGCTTCATACATAGCCTCGGACTCTGCTGATTGATCATTCCGTTAGATACCTATAGTATATAACCTCCTGTAACTTTCTGTAGTACCTCAGTTTGAATATCATCTGAGTTCTACTCATTCCTGTCCTCCAGACTTGAGTATCCCTACTCTCGTCACCCTCCAAGACTTAGGATTGATTCCTGTAGTCTATCCGTATCTGCCTCTGTCTCCAATGGTCTATTACCATTAGTTTCTAGTCTGGACTTGTCTGGATTAGCCCTATGATACTTATCCCTCATCCGGAAGTCACCTGGATCCGCTATGCTACTCGTCCGACCTTCCAGATGTGTTAGTCTTGCCTTCCTGAAATAAGGGGCAATACTTGGGTAAGGGGCACAGTGCACAAGCTGAGGCCGAAGCCCTTCGGATCCAGTTATCCCTTGAGTATGACCTTAACAGTATTTTCAAACTCACACCTTACCAAGTATACTTACACTTCCTATGGCTCCAACCAAAACCACAAACACTCTCTGAGTGGCTGGATTAGTATCCACCTGCTGTGATTCCACTCCTATCATTGAAACCTTCAATAGCTTCTTGCAGCATTGTGTTAGCCAGCACACTACTGCTGGAAGCATCTCAGAGCTTCTGAGTCATCAACATCCAGAGACCCCTACATGGACTCCAGCCCTAGCCCCTCTGGGCCAAAGAGATCCGGATGATGATGACGTTGATCATGATACCCCTGGTGGAAACCTGCCAGATGGTAATGGTGGAAATCCAGATGATGATCCAGATGATGAAGACAATGATGATGGAGACAATGGCCTGGGTCCATAGGATTGTGTTATGGTACTCCTATCCAGAGCTATCAACAATCTTGCCCAAAACAATCATCACACCACCCTCCCTGAAGATCCTAAAGTCAAGGTCCAGGAGCTGGATGTCTTTGATGGCACTGAGCCCCAGAAACTTCGTGCATTCTTTGTCCAGTGCGAGCTTAACTTCCAGAGCAAACCCAACACTTTCCATACTGGAAGGTCTAAAGTCAACTTTGCCCAATCCTATCTCAAAGGAATGGCCCTTGAATGGTTTGAACCTGACCTCCTTTCCAATAAACATACCGATCATCCGGACTGGATGGATGACTATTCCAAATTCATGCTTGAACTTCAGACCAATTTTGGACCTCACGACCCTTCCAGAGATGCAGAAATGCAGCTCAAGCAACTCAATATGCACAACAGACAGTGCATCAACAAGTACATTGTAGAATTCCAATGACTTGCCTCGCAGGTCCGTGGATGGGGTGACAGAGCTCTACACCGACAATTCTATAATGGACTTCCTGCTCGTATCAAGGATGAAATCAGTTGCATGGGAAAACCTGGCACACTCTTGGAATACAAAACCCTTGCACAAACCATTGATGCCCACTATTGGGAATGCAAGGGAGAGATCTCCCACGAAACCAAGTCCTCCGCACCCAACCCTCCTGCCAAGTCTTCCAAATGGGCCAATGCCAACATGTCCAGATCCGGAAGCACTTCCTCCGGAAACAACAAATCCAGAAAGACAACTTCGTCCACTACCTCCACTTCTAAAGCTCCAGACCTTAACAACAAGCTGGGTAAGAACAGAAAGCTTACATCTGAAGAGCATCAGAGAAGGCTGGACAGGAAGCTCTGTCTGTTCTGTGGTGGACCTGGGCATACTGCTTGGGACTGCACAAAGTCAACTTCGTGCACTACCAAAGGTTGCACAGCTACAGTTGATCTGGAAACCAAACTGGATGCCTCGGATGAGGCGAAAAAATAATCCGCAACCCTCCTGACTCCGCACAGGATGAGGGTCGCATTGACTCAACCTGTGCAACAGAGCTACAACTCAATGCTGTTTCCCTGTCCAATCTGAACTCTCTCTGTCCATATGTTTCCATCCCTATGTATTCCGATATTTCTGACTTTCCAGCTCTTGTAGGTTGTGGTTCCTCCCATTGCTTCATAGAATCCAACTTCATCTGTAAATATAATCTACCTACCTATGCAATTCCTCCGATTCCGCTCTGTTTGTTTGATGGTACTTGTAATGCAACCATTTCTGAAGCTATAGATCTGCCCATCTGTTTCTCATCCAGTGTAGTCACCTCCGATACATTCTACATAACTCCTTTGGATTCATCCTGTCTTATCATCCTTGGATATAGCTGGCTTACCTGACACAATCCATTGATTGACTGGGTTTCGCACAGCATCGAGTTCCGGGCTTCATCTCATGGAATGCCATTGACCCCTCCAATATTGCCGCTGATACCTCCAAGCCTAACATTTCTCTAATCAACACAGTTGCCTTTTGCCGGGCCTGCAAGTTAGAAGGCTCCAAGCAGTTCAGCATCTTCCTATGTCCTTCTGGTGCCAAGATCCATTCCATATCCACTTCGTCTGATGCTCCAGATCTATCTGCGATCCCTCCGGAGTATCATGAATATGCGGATGTCTTTGACAAGGGAAAAGCCAGCCAACTTCCTCCTCATAGGCCTTATGACCTAAAGATCGACTTAGAGGAAGGTACTGCTCCACCCCTAGGCACCATATATTCCCTTTCCCCAGTTGAGCTTGAAGCTCTCCAGAAGTTCCTGGATGAAAATATCTTGTCTGGACTCCTCCGCTCCTCCTCCTCTCCACATGGAGCCCCTGTCCTGTTTGTCAAGAAGAAGGATGGCTCCCTGCATCTTTGTGTGGATTTCCATGGCCTGAACAAGATCACCAAGAAAGACTGCTATCCGTTGCCCCTCATTGCTGACCTCTTAGACTCTCTGAGCCATGCCAAAGTTTACACTAAGATCGACCTCCAGTCTGCTTACCATCTCATCCAGATCTCTTCTGGAGACGAGTGGAAGACAGCTTTCTGGACATGCTATGGCTCCTATGAATGGTTAGTTATGCCCAAGGGTCTCACCAATGCTCCAGCAGCTTTCCAGCATTTTGTCAATAGCATCTTAGAATACCTTGGTTACTGTCATATCCCATATGCCAGACATAGATCCCATCATATTCCCACGCTTTCTGGACCTGTTTCCAGACCCCATATCCGACTCATTCCTGGATCCCCTATCCTGTCCACCCTACGCACATTCCATCCAGCAAGACATCCAGACTTTACCTCCTCTTGGATTCCAGACTACATCCACCACCTCACATATCTCAGTCCTGTTTCTGCCCTGCCTTCCAGATCCCCAGATCTCCGGACCTCCGGATATTAACTGTACTATCTCTGGACCTATTCCCGCCCTCTATCCAAGATCCTGCACCTATCACCATTTAGGCATCTCCACCTTTCCAGTTCTCAGTTATCTCTGTTTCCATCTTGCTGATTGATCCTTGTACTAGTTTCATCTCCGAGTTCATTTACTTATGTTCCGTCTTACTTACCAATGTGTTTCCTCATGCTCGTACATAGCCTTACTCCTTTGCTTACTGATCCTCTCGGATAGCCTCTAGTATATAACCCCTGTACAACTACAGTAGAGTCCTCAGTCTGAATATCACCTTAGATCTGCCCAATCATCTTCTGGACTTCAGTCCATCTGAGTTTGTCCTTTTCCATAAGGCCTAGGGATGGATTCCCTAGGCCGGAATTCCGGACCTTCGTATTTGTCCCCTATGTCTCCATCCCAAGTCTAGGGATTGCTTCCCTATGCTGGAGTCTTGCCTTTCTGGCACTTACCCTCTTTCTGGACTTAGGTCCACTTCCTGTCCCTCCGACTCTACCTTATGGTAGTCTACCTCTGTTTGCTTCTACATTGGACTTCGTCCGATGTAGCCCCTATTCCTTCTGGACCTCCGGACCTCCTGTCTTCTGTACCTCTGGACGTCCTGTCCCTTGTACCTCCGGGCATCCTGTCCTTCGGATGTTCCGTCCTCCATACCTCCAGACCTCCTGTCCTCCATACTCCGAACCTCCAGACATCCTGTCCTCCAGACCTCCTATCCTTCCATCCTGTTTTCCTGTAGAAGTATTACCTTGCAGCGGGAACTCTCCTGAGCATTTCCTGCATTCCTCCGGACATTTCCCGTGCTCCTCCAGAAGTCCTCCTGCACTCTCCACCAGAGTAGCCAGCCTCCAGAAGTCCTCTGGACTTCCTTGGACCATCATCGGACTTCCTCTGAAATGAAGGGCACATACTCGGGTAAGGGGCACAGCATACAAGCTGAGGCCAAGCCCCTCTGAGTCAGTCTCTCTCTCCTTTGAGCATGGTTCTTAACAGTTACCTCCTGTCTCCAGAAGGCCTTACTATGTCATCTGATAAAGTCAGGGCTATCATTGACTGGCTGGAGCCATGGAAGGTCAAGGATGTTCAATCCTTCCTTAGATTCACAAATTTCTATCATT